ACCAGGCTGGCCTGAGCTGGGTTTTGCCCTTTGTGGCTCCTGGGGAGGGGTGCAGGCATGTTGTGGCTACTACCTACAGCTGTGATTGTAGTTTATTGCCCCACCAAGCCTGGAATTAGCCCTGATGATCTGGCACAGTGCTGAAAGGCAGACTCCAGCAAGGCTCTGGGGTGAAGATTAACCTTTCCTTACTTTTAGTGCTCACTGAATGAGCTTTGCCCTGTGATGGCCTTGGGCACACCTGGCCAGGATGAGAGTTTGAGGTTGGAAGAGAAGTTGAGAAAAGCAGAGTATCAAAGTACCAGGCAAAATGGATTTTGCTCCTATTGGTTAGAAAACACTAATGGGACCCCAAAGTCAGCTGAAACAGATCCTCAACCACTTAGCACATTTGTCTGAGGGACCACAGCAAGTGTCCACTTCTGGCACCATCTGTGGTCTCAAATGACCCTACAAAGGAGCACGGCCTGATCTGTTCACACACCACACAGTGACAGGTCCAAGGGCTTCTTTCAGTATGGTTCTCTCCAGCATTGGGGTCTACTGCTTCTCTCTGTCAAAACAAGGGGTTCCTAGGTTGTGGGAAGAGAAGAGATTATTCCATGTACAGCAAGATCCAGCCAGGAATATGAAGTTTTTCTTTATACCAAATTGGATCTGCCCAAAGGACCCTGATGTGGGCAAGTTATCCATTTCTTTCAGCATCTCTTGGCTTGGGCATCGCTTCTTACTTGCAGGGTCAAACACTGGCCACTGATGGGATGATAAAGAGCCAAATTTTGATATGGGAGTGGAGCTGTGTAATGGGTTACTTCAGACATCTCCATTTCATCTGATTTATTATCTCTGCTAATTATTCCAATAAATCAGTGTTTGAATGAAACTCGCCATTGACACTAAATGTGAAGGACTGGAAATACAGTTGGGCAACTAACAGGATAGAATCCAGCTGTATCTGAGAGAATGAATAAGACTTATCTTGACAAAATGCACACAAAATTGGTAGATATTAAAGCAATATGAAACACATTGAAAGGATTGAGCTCCCTAC